GCGTAACAACATGCAATTAACAACTGCACTGATTCACTTAACAGCCATGACAAGAAAGGTTGTAAAATGGGACAAAGCTCACTTAACGTCTCACTTAACAACAGAAATTTTGGGCCGAATTGTAGTCCTAAGTTGAGGACTATCTGTATTTATTTATTTAAAGAAATAAACAAATATTTTTCGTGTTTCTGGGCTATCCATCTTTCTCAAGATACATTAGTTTGTAAACATTTTAAAGTGCAAACCTAATTAATTAAAGTCTGGACCATTACAAAAAAATAGGCAAGAGTTGAATTTTCAATTGAATTAGAAGCATCTTTGTACAAATCCATTTACATTCTAGTGACACAAGTTAGCAAGTACCTGAAATATCAGTATTTTGCCATCATCAGCTTGAAGATAGAAAGTCCAGGTAGAGGTAATGAAGCTGTGGGCAGTTTCCATCATATCACTCCAGAAGGATCTTACAAGGGTAAGCGGGAAGAGTCGATGAATTTTTGGCATTAAGGACATGAGCTACAAATAAAAAGTTGATTTTTTTTAAAAAAAATGTTCTTCGAACATGCATATAAATCAGCCGCAGGAGTACAAGCAGTGAACTTCAACTGTTTCTGCTTTAACAATTGAGATTACTTACTTGTTCACGTCTCAGTTCAGCATATGGTAACTGATTCTGGCATCCAAGATGGCAAGCATATTGTTCATCAGACTGGGAGGTATATGCCTCAGTACATGCTGCAAAATAACATCCATTTTCTCAGTTTTAAGGACTACACATTCCATACCAGCGATAAAGCACAGATGAATATAAAACCACTATTTAATACTATTATTTTTTGATATCCATACTAATAGACTATGTCAGTATTTAGAAAAGAAAAGAAAATTGAGATCAAGCAATTTTAAAATTCAAGATCTGTAAACTAAATGACAGAACTATTAAAAAGAGACAAGGGGAAATAATTTGGTATAGCTTTCTGTAGGTCCTTGGTTTGTACATGACAGATCCACTCATTTTTTAAATCTCTTGATGTAACTTACTATAAATCATGAATATAGAAGGAAGCAGACAAGTATGTAATCAGAATAATCATGTAAAAAAATTATAAGGGAAAAATAGAATCTTCCCATAAATGTGTATCAAACACATCAACTGCCTATTCCTATGCATATTGACTTGGAGGGGAATACTAGTCAAGTCAGTAGGATTTACAGCCTAATAAAGTGCCACACTGCAATGCACAAGATTCAAGAATAATGTTATCAAAATAGAAAGCAAGCAAAATATCATTGGGTTTATGTTGTAAGCCAAATCAACAGTTAGAATTTTTTTCTTCATGAAAAAACGATAAACAATATATAGGCTTTGAACTTTTACCTCTCTGAACTAACTAAATAAAAATAAATGGCTTCAGTGTTATATCCCTTTTTTCTAGAGTATGTGTAAATATTGAAAATTCTTCAGAAAGGAGAATGGGGTAAAGGAAGTTTTAGCAGCCAGCCAAAAGGCTTTCTAAAATAGAAGGCTGTAAGTGGCTCTAACCACTAATTGGTAAGCTGGGAAGGGCTTGGTAGGGATCTGCATCAGTTATTATAGGAGCTGTTTTGCCTAGAGTATGTGTTATCCGATTGTTTGAAAATGGGGTAGCTACAGTATGTTTGTACGGTATGTTAACTTGGGTGGATATTCCAATTCCGATCGCTTTTCCTTTTGTGAAATAATACTTTGCTGTGATTTGGGGTCTAATCTTTTCTCTGGCACATGGGGCTCAACTTCACATTCTGTCTTATATTTCATTTGCATGAAGGCTTTACCTGTCCTTTGTGATTAGGTAACTCCCTAAATCATTATGACATTCTCTTTGCAATTTACCAGGTTACCAAAATGTTTCTAAACTCCTCTAAACATTGGGACATTTTTTTTATTATAACTTGAAAAAGTCACTACTTTATATTACCAGAGTCACATTCCATCTTGGTCCGATTCAAATCAATTCCATCATCCACAAACTGACAAATTGAAAATAATCTGCAACCTCTTTGACATGCATAGAGCTCTTCTTCCTGATAATTAAATGTCAAGAAAGTCACCATAATTATTTTGATAATGTTATTATAAAAATTGTCAGTATGGTATATAACAAAATATAAAGTATATCCTGGACAATTTAACTTCTATGATATTTCAATCTATTGTTTCCCTATGTCATTTTCAATAAGTTTTAAGAAATTAGATATAACAGTTGATGAATGCCATGGTTTAATACACTGATTTATAATAAAAAGTTGCATACAAAATGTGTAAATACTAAGATCATTAGAAAGATGACAACTTCTGTGTTCCAGTTTCATATTCCCATCACTATTTAACATACATCTAAAACTGCTAGAAAAATAAATAAGATGCCACGAATATACAAATACCATTCAATATGATCCTTACCACCAAAGGCAGCAGAGAACCTTATTCATAGCTTAATGAATTAATATAAAGTAGAAACTGGAGGTTCATTTTGGGCAGATTGGTCGGGCCCCATCTATCGGCCAAGAAAGGGACAATACAGAGGAAGAAATGTACTCCTTCCTTCCTTACAAAAAGAAGTTCGTCTGTTCCATGCCAACAAATCAAAGGAGAAAAGAGTGTGTATGTGTGTGTGTGTGGATTTCATGTATAACCCAATCTTTCGGAGTATGGCACACTCCAGATTGTAGCAATTCCTACATCTGACCTGAGCTGACAATTACCTGGGATTAGAAAGCTCTACAGATAGTCCTCGATTTGTAACAGTTTATTTAGTGACCATTCAAAGTTACAACAGCACTGAAAAATTACTGATGACCATTTCCCCCACTTACGACCTTTGTAGCGTGTCCCCATGATCATGTGATCAAAATTCAGACGCTTGGCGACTGGTTCATACTTATGACCACTGTTGTGTCCCAAGGTCATGTGATCACCTTTTGCAACTTCTTGACAAGCAAAAATCACTGGGGAAGCCAGATTCACTTAACAGCCATGTTACTAACTGAACAGCTGCAGTGATTCACTTAGCAACTGTGGCAAGAAAGGTCGTAAAACGGGGCAAGACTCACTTAACGTCTCTCTTACTTAACAACAGATATTTGGGGCTCCATGGTGGTGGTAAGCCGAGGACCACAATGGTATTCAACCCTTGATCTGGAAAGCACCGGCACCCGAACCTGAGACCCTGGAGAAGCAGCGTTCAGAAAAGCAGCCCATACATTTGCTGGAACAATTTGTTAATGGGCAACCAAAACGGTGCCTCCCAGGAAGCAGCCAGGAAGGGCCAGAAGCAGCCTCTCTGTCCGTCTTGCTCTGAGGAAGAGCCAGAGGAGGCTCCCGTGGTATAACAAACCTGCTTTAATTAACATTTGAGCATATTGTCTGCATGGCGTCCTTTTCCGTTTATAAGCCTCTCCCCCTTAATTTTTATTGCCGCGCGCGCGTTTATACACACACACACACACACACACACACACACAGAGACACGGGGAAACAGTGGCACCACGCCTTTCGATTCCTCCTTCCGGCAACCCCCCCATTAACCAGGATCCCAAGAGGAGGAGGAGGAGGAAGCCCCGCAAACCATTTTCCTAGCGGGTGATTTAGGGGCGAAGTCGCCGCCACCGCCGCTTTCCCCTTTCTTACCTTGGGGTAGGTGTGGAGCGGGTAAGTGTTCTGGCAAGTCCGTTGACACGACAGTGTATTTCCCAACGCCGGCTCAAAAGCCTCCGAAAGGGAATTCGGAGCGGGCTCCAGGTCAGCCCAAGCCGCCTCAGAGCCGAGAAGGACCAGCAGGAGGAGAGACCCTAAACGGCTCCGCCGCGCCGCCGCCATCTTGTTACCGCTCCCCCTCCCACCCGACGGTTTGTTTTTGTTACTCCCACCATGAGCTTCTCGTTTCCGATTAGAAGAGCTACTAATATTTAGAACTATTTGGTTGGCTTCCGGGTTTCTCTACCACGATTTTTTTTTTCTCTCGAGAAAAAAGTAGGGCTCCGAAAAGAATAGTCTACTACAGTGTTTCTCAACCTTGACAATTTTAAGGCATGTGGACTTCAACTCCCAGAATTCCACAGCCAGCATTGCTGGCTGTGGAATTCTGGGTGTTGAAGTCCACATGCCTTAAAATTGTCAAGGTTGAGAAACACTGGTCTACTACACTAATTCTAGTCCTATTACTGTTTAAACAGTAATAAAGAAAAAAAAACCCCATACAAACAAAGAGAAACGGTCGTCTTCCTCGCAACCCAGTTTTATTCCACTTATTTTAATATGCATTGTCAGGCGCATCTCCCCTTACTGCAAAGTTTCTCAATCTTGGCAACTTTAAGATATGTGGACTTCGACTCCCAGAATCCCCTCCAGGGGTAGGCAACTTTGGCTCTTTTATGACTCGTGGACTGGCTCAGGAATTCTGGGAGTTGAAGTCCACGAGTCATAAAAGAGCCAAGGTTGCCTACCCCTGCCCTAGACAACATGCCGGGGGGGGGGGAATCTGGGATTTGAAAAAGTTGTCAGGGTTGAGAAATACTCACCAATTGGATGGTAGAGATAGATACGTTTACAGGTAGCTTCACGCAACTATGTAACAGCGTGAAGACGATCATTTGAAGGTTAATTCTCTGTGCAATCACAATTATGTTAAATTCTTAAGACTTCCCTCCCCTCACCGAATGGTTTTTCCTGTGGAATAACAATAACAAAAATACATCCGGCAGCTATGTCTCTGTAAAGGGTGTGGTTACTCTAATTTTTATCTCTACGATCAGTCTGGAAGGACAGGAAAGTAGGTTACAGTTGAAGGGTTGTTGGGAAATGTAGTTCCAGGAGGGCGAGAAGCGGAAGGAGATGCAATTCCGGCAATTAACAGGCATCCTGGACAAATAGTGCTTTTTTTTTCAGGTGAGATGCAGCTCGTCTTCTATTATTTTACTTTTTGCCAAATTAATTTATTACTTTAAAAAAAACTCTCAAGGAAAAAGTAGCAAGAACTTTGCTTCTCAACAAGTACAATGATAGAAATTCAACAGCTTCAACTTAGTTCCCGATCTCGCTTGAAAACCTTTTAATAGCACCCAGTTCAAGCTCACAATAACGCATTTTAAGCCTGATATTTATATTATTTTTTGAGTACAGGGGCCTTTTCTACTTTTACATTATTTACAGGCCTTCTGCTTTTAGTTTAAACTGCAAAGATCACTATTAATCTCCATTTATGAAGACTGGGAGTACATCATCCTTCTTTTCCTCCTTTCATACAGAAGTACCTTCTTGCTATAAATAGTTATTTTTTCCTGTTTATGGATTAGATGATGGATAAATTTGTTGTAAGAACACCCAGAACTAAAGGAGAACCAACAAAGAGCAATCCTGGAAAAAAGATTTATAAACAAGCTACAATAGAATCTCTGAAGGTATGTTTCAGATACTTCTGCGTTGTAATAATTTAGATTTCTTTCTTTAGTTTCAAACAACATGACGGTATTTCTGAGGGGATAAATGGTAAAGCTAGAACTATTTTACAAAATATGTATTTAATATGTATTTAAAATCCAATGCTGGGGGGGGATTATAGGAAAAGCCTATTTTTTCATGTATGGGAATATCATTAAGTAAAATGACTCTTAACTTTTCTTGTACCCTGTAATTTCAGTATATGAAGCTTCTCAAAAAATAACTATTTTAAGTTTTTAATCAGCCCAACTAACCTTTGAAAAGAATAATGAATGCATTTTATTAAAGTTTTAAGAAACATTTATACTTTAAATGGATTATACAACATTCTGGAAAAGGTTTCACCAAAATGGTGATTCAGTGAAGCTGCAAAAATATATTGAGAACTGTAATAACATCAAATGTAATGTGCACCTTTTACAATGGAAGTAAGCAAATCCAATGAGACAGCTTCTCTTACAGTCCCTACTGTGGGTAGCAACTCAATGCATTTATTGTTTGGCTGCCTCCCATAAAACTATTTTTAATAACTCTTATTAACCAACAATACCTAGTAAAGTAAAATTATTCATTTGAAAAATTGAGCTATCAAATGAAACTAATTCAAACTAGTTCAAAAATTTTGAAAAAGTTGCAATTTCACATTACTGGGATAACATTTTTAATTAAATAAAATACTGTATTTAGAAAGTATTTCCAATGAACACCTTTATCAGTTACTCTCAAAAGACAAAGCAGTAATGTGGAACAAATAGTTCTTTTAAAGTATCTCCTTTATTTTAAAAGTAACACTTACCAAAAAAAAGCAAATTTTAAGCAAATTTATTCTGTTGGTTTTGTTTTCAGCTCAGTTTTCCTTTTTGGTCAGTTTTCCCTGGCACATCACATCCAGGGCTACTTCAAGAGAAACCTTTTAATTATTTTTGTGACTTCTTTATTCTTCAGCAGTTAAATGAAGTGGGAATTTCAAAGTACCCCTTTGCTGTGTTCTGTTATTATAATAAATGAAAACAGTATCTCTGTTTTTGTAATGAGGAAATAACCTATTTTCAGTGTGAAAAAGTTTTAATACAGGTGGTCCTCAGCTTATGACCAAAATGTCCATTGCTAAGCAAGACAATTGTTAAGTGAGTTTTGCCCCATTTTACAACCTTTCTGGGCACCGTTGTTAAGTGGATCATTCAGTTGTTAAGTTGGTAATACAGTTGTTAAGTGAATCTGGCTTCCCCATTGACTTTGCTTGTCAGAAAAACACAAAAGGTGATCACATGATCCCAGGACTCTCCCACCATAATAAATACATGCCAGTTGCTAAGCATCTGAATTTTGATCATGTGACCATGAGGATGCTGTGACAGTTGTAATGTGAAAAATGGTCATAAGTCACTTTTTTCAGTGCAGCTGTAACTTCGAACTGTCACTAAACAAATGATTGTAAGTCAAAGTGTACCTGTGATACATTTGGACTAGGCAGGTCAGTTAAAATGGACCGAAAGCATGTTTAGAGTTGGAGACTATTGACATAAAGACCCAAACAGAGGAAGAAAGGTGTAAATGATAATTACATTGATCTTTGTGTTTGAAAATAATTTATAGAAGTATAGGAATAGGGAAGAGTTTAAAAATTAGCCATAAAAAAAGAAAAATCTTTAGGAAGTCAGGAAAAAAATGATATAATTTCCTAAGAAAGAAAGTGGAAAACTTTATTTTGTAGTGGAATAAATCAGAAGAATATGAATGATGCGAAACAGATACAGCAGTGTAGAGGGGAAAAAAATTACAGTTAATATGTGTTTGGGGCCAAGAGATCACAGGCAAGCAAGTACATGTTTACTTTAGGTAATAGTGAAGAATCGTGGCAACATTATGAGGTGTTCTCAGATTTTTATGAGGACTCTCTGCTCTACGCACTCTCTTCAGAATAGTAAGTGAATTGAAAATGGCAGCCTAATGAGTTGATTTTGCTTTCTAGATTTCACTCACTTACTTTACATCAGGGACTCGCTGTGAAACAAGTACTCATCTGTGTGGATTATCCGATTTTCGGAATTTGACTGTCCATCATCATCATCAATAATTTATAGGGCAATACCGCCACTGTTCACTGACACAAAGCACCGGAAATGAGTTTGCAGCAAAATATGTGTGTCTCATTCTAGCTCCTAATGATGGGTTTCTTTCCTAGAGAGTTGTAGTTGTAGAAGATCTAAAAAGATGGAAATCTGTACTAGAGCTTTCAATTCAACCTAAGGAGAACCTAATTGAGGCCTTGATGGAGTTAAGGAAGAAAATACCTTCCAAGGAAATTTTACTTTCAACGAAAATAGGTAACAATTTGCTTTTTATATTCTTATCATGGAAGCCCAGAATCGTGGCTTGTGGGAGTAAATTGGGATAGTTCAGTTATAAAATGCTAAGCATTTAGTAGAGGTAGTCCTCGACTTACGACCTCAACTGAGCCTAAAATTTATGTTGCCAAATGAGACATTTGTTAAGTGAATTTTGCCTCATTTTACAACCTTTCTTGTCACAGTTTTTAAGGGAATCATTGCAGTTATTACGTTCATGGCACAGTTAAGTGAATTAAGCTTCCCCATTGACTTTGTTTGTCAGAAAGTCGCAAAAAGTGATCGCATGACCCTGGGATACTGTAACCATCATAAATATGAGTCACGTGCCAAGCATTTGAAGTTTGATAGTGTGACCATGGAGATGCTGCAATGGTTGTAAGTGTGAAAAACGGTCATAAGTCACTTGTTTCAGTGCCGTTGTAACTTTGAACTGTTGTAAATTGAGGACTATCTGCACACACATTAGAGCCACTAATCTAAGATGCAGCTCTCAGGGTCCTTTGAGAAGTTGCACCTAAGCTATAGTTTGTAATGTTCAAAGGGGAACAGTTTAATACCTGGGGTGTAATCATACTGATTTAATTAATAGTTATTTGAATTCTGGGTTCAGTCAAGTTTAGTATTGGTCCTGGTTCTGCCTTTTCTTTGCATTACTGCCCTAGGATTTCTTCAAATGATAAATATTGCCCTCTGTCAATCAAGCTGCACATCCACACACACAGAGAGAATTCACCAAGCATTCAGAACAATGGGTTCTTCGTTTTCTCCTTCTGTGCTCGTGGAGCTTATTTTAATTGCTCCTCCTGAGTTACATTCCCAAAATAGCTTTCAATTTATTTTAAGTGTCACGAAGTAGACAATTTCTAGGAAAGCCACATGACGGAGTTGAATTTTCGTTTAGGTTTCACCCAATTCCTCTCTGTTGCTAAATCTCCGTGTCATAATAGGTCTCAAAAAGAAATAATTCTGGCTTGGGAATAGATGTCACAGCAACCAATTGCTCCTCATTGAGCAGGATTTCTAGACTGTAGTGGCGGCTGTAACAAGAGAAAAGATGTTTTTTCAGCTTTGCCCCACTTTCCAACATCCCGTTCAATGCTACCATGTACTCTATATCTTTCATTTACTCTTAGGTCATACAGTGAATAAGATGCGGAAACATCCGGATCAGGATGTGGCCACTCTTGCGAAAGAGGTTTACGCTGAGTGGAGAAGCTTTATTAAAAACCAGTCAAATAGACCTTTAATTGAAGTCAGGTGTAATCCCAGAACAGAGAGCCTGAGGCAGAATGCCCGGAAGCTACTAGCAGAAGCTCTAGAAGTCGAGGTAATGTGTATTTCATGATAAATTTCTAGGAAATAACTTTTCTTAGTATAATATTACTATGGTGTTATTGGTGGCACTGCTTTTCTCACATTATTTCTGCCCAACTCACACGCTCTAACAGGTTAGGCACGATTCCCTTCCCTGAACCAGTGCCTTCTAATGGGACCTAGGACCCTTATGTAGCATCTATATCAGTGATGGCGAACCTTTTAGAGACCGAGTGCCCAAAAACTGGTCCCGCCCCCGCTCCACCCCCTGCCCTGCCTCTGCTCCACCCTGCCTGCCCGCAGGGCCACTCACCGCCTCCAGGGCCTGCCGCAGATCACCCAGGCAGCCCAGCAGCACCATGGCGGCCACGCCCTCTGCTCACCCCCCGCAGCATCAACTGTGCGTGTTGGGGTGTGAGGGCAGAGTCTTGTCTACGCTGCCTGGCCGCCATGTCCTTGGCTGCGCTGCTCCGTGTGGGCCACGCTCAGGGGCGACTTTCCTCCAGGGAGGCTGCTGGTGAGGAGGGGGTCGCAGGTGGAGGCAAGGCTTGGGCAACAGCACGTGTGCCCACAGAGAGGGCTCCAAGTGCCGCCTCTGGCACCTGTGCCATAGGTTCGCCACCACTGATCTATACTTTGGGATGATCTCCACCCTCCCCCAGCAAACTTTGGTTAGCCCTGACCCTATTAGCTTTGTTGAGCCAGGGTGATAGATACACCTATCTTTGAGAGGAGAAGGGTATGTTGATGGGCCCTGACCATGTGTTCTTATGGAGTTCTTGCATTCATGATGTTAGCTAGTTTATTTATTTATCAAATTTATATACATGACCCATTTCACTCTGCAAGTGAGTCTGGGCAGTTTACAATAATACCAAAACCAAATAATTAGGTAATGAATCATCTGCCAGCAAACAATCAACCTGAGCGAGCACCAAGAACTCCACCAGTTCAACCCTGAGCTACATTTGTTCTGTTATGTGCTATTGATATGCTGATTTTTTTTTGTTGATATTGTTGGTTTTAACAGTTTTTTATTTGGTTATTTTCCTGTACATCATGAAAAATTACAATCCTATAAGACCGACAGCCATACACTGTAAATTTTCTAAAGAAATAATCCAGTTGAAGTGAGATGGCAGGCATTCAGATGCAAACATGAATGATCTTGAAGGCAAGTTACTTTGCAGTTTGAGGGAACAGATAATAAATCCAACGCTGGCTTAGTTTTGGCTTCCTTATATTTCAATAAATTCTCTATCTCTAAAAAAAAAAAAACCACAGTCAATTTGTTTATTCCTCCTCTTATCCTGAATTGCATTTTAAGCAAGTGACATCAGTTTTCAGATAGTTTCAGCTAATCTTGAAAAACTCAGTCTGGCTTCATCTGTTTAGACAAGGAGGGAATGAAAGTAGCAGTAAACATTTTACATAAATAAATCACAAGTTGATATCCAAAGTTACTTATTGATAAGTAATTTGCCAATAGGACCTTTTTTTCCCTCCAGAAGGTACTTTAGCTCTCTGGTGGTGATAAAAAAAACTATATTTATTGAAATTGGCTGCTGGTTGTTACTATGATATAACATACTTCACTCTGGTGCATTTTGTCTCGATAGCAGAGGTTAAGAAAAGAAGAAAAAATAGAGAAGATAAATGTATAAATTTCAGGTAGTGGAGGATGAAAACCATGTGGATCAGTGAGGAGACTGCACCTATACCTTTTACTTCTATAAGCTGCTCAGAGTCACTGTGAATGAGTTGGGTGGCCATATAAATGTTTTTAATAAATAAATAAATGAGTAAAAAGCCCAGTTGTAGTATACTGTTGAGGAAATGTTGAGGGAAATACATTCTCTATCATTTTTCCTTATTCCTGTGTACCTATCCGTAACATCTAGCCAAATATTTATATTACTCGTTTTTAGTGAAGCGGATCCATACACATTCCTCTGGAGTAGCTGCCGTCATAATTTCATTTAAAATGTTTTGTACTTTTGCTTCACACAATTCCCAGAGTGGTCCAGAACGATCATAAAAACAATATCAGCTGCCATAAATTGAAATATAAAATCAGCTGAAACAACAAAAGCATGACAGAAGCCAAAAACTGGAAGAAGGAATAAAATATTTTAAAACCTGCTTTAGTTATGTGCTGGAAGGCCTCAAGAAATAAATATCATTTTGGGTTTGCTGCTGAAGTGATATCAGATTTAACTTCTTATTTACAACAGAAAAGATCCTTTATTTTACCACTGTAAGCTTATTTCTAGAAGCAGTGCAAGTATTGGCTTGGGATTGTGTTTACGAATCGTGCTTAGCCGTAATGCGATTTGCTTTGGATTTGCATGTTGTGCAAATATATATTTCACTTTGTAAATCATGGTTTATAGCTTAACATGTTACATAATCAATTGACTATGATCAGTTCAGTGAAATATAATTAAACAAATTGTTACCCAGCATTATGTAGTCATCTAGGAAATCATCTGAGAGAAAAGAAATATGTAAATATGTACCAGTACTTATTATTTTGTGTACAAGGTATAAATACTGGTATTCTCTCCAGATGGTCTATACTTCAGGCAAACCTTATATCTGTAATTAAATGTTTGTAAATCAAAGTTTATTGTGAGACCCTACAGAGAGGGTCAATAGTGTACAAAGTGGTGGTAAATATCAGATCCCTGTGGTACCCTTACGTAATGAACACAACAAGAATTCTCCCTGAGCCTTAACGACCAGCGTGCTTGCTCTATTAAACTCCATAATAATTATCCTTTCAAATGAATTCATTAATTATCCTTTAAATGGCATGTCAAGGTACTCGAAGAGTACAAAGCAAAATTTAGAGGCAGTGCTTTTATTCCTTATCAACTTTGGTCAGAAAATTATGCCCTCCTGTTTTGTTAATAGCTCCAGCAGGTCCTAGAGCTAAAATGTCAAATGGTTAGTAGACCAACTTGGGATTTGGAATCCTCAGTTGTGGCCCACAGTTTTTTCAGACAGATGCATAATATTGCAGTGGTTCAAACCAGGTTTAACTGGGGAACTAGTTTAACAGTGTTGTACGTATTATAAGGATTTTATATATGAAAATGTGAGTGCAGAGTGGCAGTAATTACACAAGTATCTACATTTTACCTTTAACCTGAGGTTTTTTTAAAATTTTTGCTCCAACTACATTTTAAAGACACCACTATTTCTTGCTTTTCTCTCACTAAATATGGTCACTTGTTTTTTGTTTTTTTAAATTTTTTAATTTTTTTTATTAAAAGTTTTATGAAGATTACAGTATAAACCCCCCCCACCCCAAAACCCTGTACTTGTTAAAAGGTGCCTACCAAACATCTACTTTTTTAAAAAAAAATATATCCCTAGATACAGTTATACACAGAGCAGCCCCAAAGCAGCAATCCAGCAGTCCAGGTACTAAGCAATCTGTGAGGAGAACCTACTAAGCCATAAATCCTGGTTGATTTTTTTTTAAGTCACAATGATTTACACCATGCTAAACCAAAGTAAAAAAAAAACTTCATTGTTATCACTTACTGTAGAATATTTATTTATTATTTTATGAACAAGATTCGTAAGGTCACCAACTCAAAACAGTGTGATTCTGGGCAGTGTACAGCCTAAAAACAAGCAAGAAATCCCTCCCAAACCATATAATCTTAGACATATATAATATATAAATAAAAAATGGTGATCAAGCAACATAACAAAATAACCAAAAGGAGATTCTCACTCAACTGGCCCCTCGTGCTGAGGAGAAGAGCCAGATAGTTTTTCTAAAAGTGAACACAGTTGGGGCATCTCATATGTTGGAGTGGAGATTGGAGATCATTCCAAAGAATATGGCAACCATAGAAAAGGCATGGCTCTAGGGCAGGGGTCCCCAACCCCCGGTCCGTGGACCAGTACCGGGCCACAGCATGCCAGCAACCGGTCCGCACAAACAAGCAAAACCCCATCCGCAGGATGCAGGCAGCACACAAAACCACGCACCCTCCGGTCCATGGAAAAACCTCTCTCCATGGAACTGGTCCCTGGTGCCCAAAAGGTTGGGGATCTCTATTTTAGAGACCCATAAGAAGGAAAAGAAGAAATCTGGATTCCCTGCGGGAGTATGTGGGGCAGGCAGATGTTCTTGGGAGAAGATGGTCTTTCAAGTAATTTGGTCCTGTGCCGTGTAGGCCTTTTAAGGTAGTATCTTGAATTTCACCTGGAAGCCTTTTGAAAATCAGTGCATCTCAATGAGAAGCAGTGTTACCTGGGGATAGTGAGATGTGTCCATAACTACCTGTGCCACTGCGCCCTGGACTTCCCTGATGCTTCCTGATGGTCTTCAGTGGCAGCCCCATGTAGCATAAGAAGCCCACTCCTCTGATTTTGTGTAAACTGTTTATATATGCCTAACTATCAAACAGTGTTTCCATTTTTAATGTTACATGCTAACAAATCACAGTTATTTTTTTTTTCACTTTTCACTTGATTTTATGATTGTAGTATTGTTTCTGTTCGAACAAAACAGTTACTTTTACTGAAGAGCCAGAAATAAATCTACTAAAATAAATATATAGCCAGAATTTTATTGCAGGCTGCAATGGGAAATATTTATTCTCAAAGGGACAGTCAGCATCTTGACCTACCTCCCTAGCTTTGTAAAATAATTTGTAGTACACCAGATCAGTCTTCCCTGGCATTGCATCTGTTTTTGGTGTCTTGCTTTTTTTAATGCATATGCACAAGATAGCTATAATTTAAAGAATACACATCTATTTAAGCAGGGAAGGGGAATATATTCAAATGTCTAGAATAAGAAATGTTAAAAGTTTATTAAAGTAGATACAATTTTAATTAAATATGTATGCATATACTGTATGTTTGTAATAATATAGATGGAATACGTGAGTCAGTTTACTTTTTGCAAGCCATTTTTACAGTTTTACGTATAAATGAAATGAAGATTTATCTATAATTTCCTACACATTTAACCCTGGCATTGTTACACTGGAAAAGGCTACATTTGTCTTCACAGTATATCCCTGCAAGCTGCTATTGAGCATGGGAACATATTGAAATCTGCATAAGTAAAACAAGTAAAATACGATGAGCTATGGGCTCAAAGTACAGGTGTAGGTTTGCTTAGGCTGGATCCCGGCAGTGTTAGAGTAAGTTCGTATCATATCTCCTTCATTCATATCATATCTGTTTAACTCTGGTCCACATTAATTTCTAAAGTGAACTTGAAGGTTGATAGTAAATACACCTTATTATTTGAATTTTCTCATATGAGACATTGCTTAAGAAGACAGAGACGTATAAATCAGCAGAGCAGTTAGAAAAAGCACTAATATAAGTGACAGTGATTCTAAAACCAACAGGATATTCTAAATAATTGGAAAAGTAAGTTTGGGAATATGCATTTTAAACTCACAATTCTGCAAAGACACTGTGATCAGTAATTCTCTCCAGTAGGAATAAGTTATTCAATGTAAATGAAAACTAACAACATCGTTCTGGTATAAGACGCAGTTGAGTGTGATGAGGTTATTCCCACAGTGGCTGAAAAATATGTTAAGATAAACAGGAGTCTCCTTAGTTCTGTGTCACCAATAATCAAAACGAAATAACCCTGTTTTTTTTGTAGGCAGTCACTGCTTTTATTTTATTTCAATATTGCTTCCGTAGATATCTCATTGTATATAGCTTGGCACATGCTGAGGCTGGACTTCAAAATTAATGCTGTAACAAATCCTTTTCTGTTTTCTTGATTACACCTGACACTTGTGCACAGAGTCTCCATTTCCTTTTACAGCCTTGCCAGTCAGTTTTGTAAAGGATTTAGAATATCTAGGATTTAGTTTTAGAGTAGTCTAAAACCCCAGCAGAAATCGGTGTTATTAGACGTGGTACTCCTCCATTCATAATTGCTTTTGAGCCTGATATCCCAGGCTGATTACTTTCCTGTTGGGTTGATTAAAAAAAAAAAAAAGGTAATGACCACACAGCCGTTATTGTTTAATTGAAATGAAATTGTTCTTCCTGTTTAAATTATGATGTGAATTTCCTTGTTTGAGCTGATTAAGAAACCACCTCCGTTGCAAATGCTGAGCCTCCTTATTAAACATAAGGATTTCATTTCTTACTTTCTGTTTTCAGATTGGTCACCTGCTGGCAGAAAATATTGAGCAAGAAGCTTTTTATCTCTCTTCCCATCTTGTTAACACGTCCTATCGCAGGACCGTGCGAGCACTCGTGTTCTCTTTGAAGCACAATCCGGAAACTCGCGCACAAGTGCAAAGTGGGGTTTTGCCAGTTAAGATGCTTGTCCAAAGCCACAAAAAGTGATTCATATGGAGATTATGGAGGTTGTAAAATGGCATAAGTATTCCAAAACATGGGACTTCTTTTTGGTGGACTAAGCATGTTTTGGATCAACCATAATGTGGAAACATGTATATTTAAGAAACTTTGTTGCTGGCCCAATCATCATTTGAAGCAAATGGTGGTGTGCAAGATTGGGTAAGGGCATTCTTCTATCTTATAACAACCTAGAAAGAAATCTATTTTAGACAGTAGAGTCTACAACTTTTGTAGTATGCCAGAAACCTATAAGAACTGAAATAAAATGTGCAAAATGAAAAGTGACCGTTGTAGTTAATAACCCAAAACTAGTATATCTGCTGTCCTTCACAAAACTGCATCAATCTCCAGCAAGGTACTCCAATATGTGGGGATCCATCTCCAGGAAAGTACGTACTGTATGTCTCTGTGTTCGCTCTTGTTTAATCTCATCAGGGATGCGAATCCTGATTAACTCCTCTTAGGAGATTGGCAGATTCTGGTCAGGAGAGACAATCCTGCAAGTACAGAGATGCCAAGTCACGTAGGGCTCCAAGTATCTCAAATTGGATCCAGAAGCCCATCAGCGCATCAACCTCAACATAGGTGTCAGCCTGTTGATCCTGTTTCCTCTCTGTCCTCTGCACTTAATAGCAATATAAGTGGTTTACAGAGGCAGCCTGTTGTCCCCAACAATTTGGTCCTCATTTTACCGACCTCGGAAGGATGGAAGGCTGAGTCAACCTTGAGCGGATGAGAATCGAAGGAATTGAACTCTTGGCAATGTGAGCAGAGTCAGCCTGCAGTACTGCATTCTAACCACTGTACCACGACGTCTCATATGGCCAGTTTAAGGCCAGCTTCCAGACAATACGTTAAACCCGGGCGATTGCATCATTGCATGCTCTCTTTTACTTTTTAGACAGTTCCACCCTTGGTAGCCTAATGGAAATAATCCATTTCTTTAAGATTTTTTTAAAACTTTGCTAAGTAAATTAGCCTGTGGAACAACTTCATTCCAATCTACATGATAAGCTCAAAAGAAAGTCCCTCGATAACTAGCCTGTCACCAATCGGCTATGGAATGTCTCAGTTCAAGTCTGAGAAGTGATTAAATCATTGATTTTCTTAAGCTCTGATCTTTGATGCAGGATACATAATTGAAGTGCAGGTATCCTTTTTACTTGTGGTGATACGGTATGCCGTTTGGTGATAAAGTTACCTAGCTTAACAATGACTGTGGTGTTATTTAGAGCTGCTTTTTCCATGCTGCTGCCCTCTTTTCTGCCTCAACATCCCCTCCCTGCTTCTTGGGTGAAACGGGATTTGCTCTAAAGGAATTGCTCTCTGTTAGCAATCATGAAGCCAAAAATGGACAGCACACCAGTCTATACACACAAATATTATTTCAGCCTAACCACATGCTCAATGGAATTGATCCACGTCAGATCAATGGGATATCCTACAATGCTAGGCACTCTTATCTGGGAGAAGATTTACTTCTGATTTGGCATGTATAGAACTGCACTTCTTCTCTATAATCTTTGTAAACCAACATAAATATTAGTCAATTCATGCTTGTACACTTAACGTTCACAAATTGATATTATGATCTTATAGCTCTATAAACTAGGTCTTCTGTGAGTACAGTTCAGGGCTTGTGCAATTGCAATAGAGGGGTATATATTTTTAATAATGGTGTATTAAAAGCCTATTGTAAAATTACATTAATTTCTTGCTCCTGCAGGTAACAAAACCTATAGGTAACTTTTTCAGTCAATGTCAATAAAGCCTAGAAAATGGCTTGAGTAAACATTAGCAGCATGAGGGAGCTACATTTTCCCAACATTCTTTTAAAAAGCTGCACCTTTTGCCTACAAATTAATAATAAAGAAAAGATCATTCACATAGTTGTTCCTTACAAGCTTAAATGGAGAACAAGTATTTCAACTAACATGTTACTGGAAATTGTTTTTGCTTTCACTGTATTAACAGTATGATTAATATCAAAGTATTTACAGCATTTGTCCAGCCTAGAATATATCTAAAATCACAATTTTATTATGATATTACCAACTAGCAACATCCCATGAGCTGTTCGCAATGGAAATAAAATAAGGGGAAAAGTACTAAAACAACATTTTAAACTAAAAGCATCAATTTGTTTTTAAAAAGGGATGGGTTTTTAAGACTTTCCAAATACTAATAAGATGGTCAGTTCTCTTAATGTGAGAAGACCAGCATCCCAGAAAGCAGAAGTTAGAAGTACACCAATCCCAAAGTGGACATCATTAAGATTCCAGCAGATATTTGGCACCTTGGTGGGTTCCTTGGGCTGGCCTGTGTGAAGCCCTAAAGTTTGGAGATGCCAGCCCTAAAGAGTTGATTCAGTTTAATCAAGGCTCCATTGAAGGGCTGATGCAGCTCTACAAAACAAATCAGGACTTTTAAAGTGTGGCTGCATATCTCTCAGCTGGATCCTCAGATATATATGCCTGGGCAGAAAGCACCCATTTGGGTGGGGGTGACCAGGAAAGCCAAATGGCTAGTTTGGTGTAAGACAGGGGTAGGCAACCTTGGCTCTTTTATGATTCGTGGACTTCAACTCCCAGAATTCCTGAGCCAGCATGGCTCAGCTTGGAAACCTCTCCCTTTCCCCTCAGCATGGCTGGCTCAGGAATTCTGGGAGTTGAAGTCCACGAGTCATAAAAGAGCCAAGGTTGCTTACCCTTGGTGTAGGAGCACCTCACTTATCCATGTCACGGCACTGTCTTGCTCTAGCTAGCAAGTGAAGCTGTTTTGCAAATCTGTATTTGTCATACATTTTGCTATGTTTCCAGACAAGTTTCAGTTGATGTAAATGAGAGCTACATCTGAGCAGTCTTTCCAATTACCTGTAGTTCTTCCATTGCAGATTAAAGACATTTTTTCCCATTAAAAACATTGTTTTTCCTACTTCATGTATATTTGATTTCAAAAAACCCTTTTATGCTTTCAAAGAAGTAGTATGAAGATTCTCTGTATTAGTTATATTTTATTCTCATCTTGACAGACAGGTTTAAGGGTATAATTTTATCAAAATTGATTTAGTATTTTTGACAAAACTGAAAAGTATATTTTTTTTAAAAAAATCCTATTATTTAGATATGCAAACTGCTTGCACAGGACGTCCTTCCTATGATTTCAGTGTACATTTGCTTAGGTAATTTGGCAGAAGAACATGATGTAACTGTAAGCAATAAAACAGTAAGTAACTTTCACTAATGGCTTTTAAGTTCAAAGGTTATTTTTTTAAATGCTAGGATAAAAGCAAACAGGAAAACAAGAATTAAAACACAGTGTCACTAGAACTGTTTGTCCTAGCTCAGTGATGGCGAACGTATGGCATGGGTGCCAGAGGCGGCACTCGGACCCCTCTTTGTGGGCACATGTGCCGTTGCCCCAGCCTTGCCTCCCCCTGTGACCCCCTCCTCTCCAGCAGCCCCCCTGAAGGAGAGTTGCCCTCGAGCGTGGCCCACACGGAGCAACGCAGCCAAGGACATGGCAGCCAGGCAGCGTAGACAAGACTCTGCCCTCACACCCCATCATGCAGTTGATGCTGCAGGGCGCGGGCAAAAGGTGTGGCCGCCATAGCGCTGCTGGGCTCCCTGGGCGATCTGCAGTGGGCTGTGGAGGCGGTGAGTAGTCCTGTGGGCAGGCGGGGTGGGGAATGGGGGGGCAGAGCGGGGGCGGGGCAGGGGGTGGAGCCAGTTTTTGGGCACTCGGTCCCTAAAAGGTTCGCCATCACTATCCTAGCTATTCAACAATAGGGCTAAAGGAGACATCAGTGCTGTAAAAGTCTTGTCAATTCAACTAAACAAAGGAGATATAGTCGTAGAAGATTCTTAATTTGCACACTTACCTCTTTCAGGTTTACGAAGATTTGTAGGGTGCAGGATTCCTTAAGATCCTAGAGCTAGACCAGTTACTTTCTAGGTTAATATATTTTCCCCATCTCTCTATTTTTTCTCCTTTAATCATCAAGCTTTGTTCATAGGCAATATAACCGAGAAGAATATTGACAATCTTTCTTCTGGTAATTCCAGGTGGGCTTCTAATATTGCCAATAATTTCTGTTCCTTTATGAGTGTCTTCAGTTCAAGGAGTCCATATGATGTATGTATGTTGATGCGTACTGTCCACATATCCCTTCTCTCCAAATGTTTTACGTCAGTGTTTTTGTTGTTTAGCATGGTGTATATGTGTATCTTTTTGTAAGCAAGAAAATTAGCACATTCCAAATTAAATATGGTTAGGCCCTAATAAGTTCCTACTACTTAGGGCCAATGATTTAGAATTTTTACTAAGAATGTTTTTTCCAAGCTTAGCCTTTAACTTTTTTTTCCTTATCAATGTCCCAAACTGTCTAGAAAAGAAAGAATTTTTATACATCTTGAACCAATTTTACAGCTTCTGTATTTGAAGGGGTCCATTTGATGCATAATTTTCAATTATTGCTTCTTCAAAAACACGAAGAATGCAAATGAATTGGATGGTCATTATGTTTGCCCCTTTTTTCTAAAATTAAAAATAACTTTTGTGCAGGTTCCGGAATGCCTGTGCCTCTGCCAGCTTGCCAAAAAAATATGAAATTATGTTTTAATTTTAACTTGAATAAAAAACCTGGAAACCTAGAACCAGGTCCTACACATACTTAGTCAAAACACAACCCCCATTTTGTTCAGTGAGATCGTTTTCTGTGGTTTATAAGGTTGAGAAGCTATGGGAAAAGAGGCATAATTTATTTTAGAGAGCATACAGCAGTTTTGCAAATAAATATACAGTACAGCAGGTCATGGGGGTATGTGTGTAGAGGTATCTTGGCTATCTTGTACTTTTCTCAGGGTTGATTATTTCTATCCTTATCCCTCATTTTATCTATGTAAATATGTTTACAGGCATTTCACTTCTCATTAACATGCTGCATTAACAGAGGGATAGAATCAAGATCACGTGAAGTATTAATACCACTTTACAATGCCTTTACTGCATCCAGTTTTGGTCACCACGATGTAAAAAAGATGTTGAGACTCTAGAAAGAGTACAGAGAAGAGCAACAAAGATGATCAGGGAACTGGAGGCTAAAACATATAAGAAACGGTTGCTGGAATTAGATATGTCTAGTTTAATGAAGAGAAGGATGAGGGGGGACATATCTCAGGGGTTGCCACAAAGAAGAGGGAGTCAAGCTATTCTCTAAAGCGCCTAAAGGCAGGACAAGAAGCAACGAATGGAAACTAACCAAAGAG